CTCGTTTCTCTATCCCTTTCCATCCTCCAGCCCCTTTGTTTCTCTTTCTCTCCTTTCCTTCTGTATGTCTCTTTGTCTCACCCAGCCATTATAAGAGGATAGGAGGTGTGAGGTGCATGGGGAAGGGGGCTAAGGGGCTGTAGCGTATTGGCAATTTGGAAATGTAGTGTGTTTTGGTGTGTGTGTGTGTGTGTCTGACTGTGTTTGTGTCTGACTGTGTGTTTGTATCTGACTGTTTGTGTCTGACTGTGTGTGTGCGTGTGTGTCTGACTGTGTGTGTGTGTCTGACTGTGTGAGTGTGTTTGTGTCTGACTGTGTGTGTGTGTGTGTCTGACTGTGTGTGTCTGACTGTTTGTGTGTGTGTGTGTGTCTGACTGTGTGTGTGTGTATTTAGAAGGTGGGGTGGGGGGGGCGCCTGAGTTTTGTCCTGCCTATGGCAGCACAAAACCATGATACACCACTGGATAGGGGCTGAAGTGTATGTTAAATGGCTCTCAAACTCATTGATTGTATCTATATACTCACTTATCTCTGACCCACTGCTACTTTCTCAGTGTGGCTATTTAAGACCTAAACTGTGGAACTTGTAATTTCACTGAGAGTAAATCCCTGCTGCAGTATTAAAAACTAAGCACATGCACTGCTTTGTACAATGTTTCATCACTACCTTCCTGAGCTCTTTTCCGACTCCCTCAGGCAGGATTGCTGTGTTTACATTGCAGTGTTAAGACTGCCTCTAGTGGCTGTCTATGAAGTTTACCAAGTTTGACTCCGTGAAACAATGCTGGATGTGCTCTGCATGAGCTTATCCAGCATCCTCAGAATCCCCATAGGAAATTATTTATTCAGTGATTTACTACAGGGAAGGCCTATTGTGAAGACCTAATGCATTGGTTCCCCCTCAGCACTGTCATCTGAGGATATGAAGACGGAGCCAGCGATGAGGGACCTTGGCGCTGGAATCAGGTGAGTAAAAGAAAGGGCTATGAAACATTTCAGTGCTGCTGGGGCAGAAGAACAATTTACTATTGGGAATACAGCTTTGCATTCCTAACACTATAATGTTCCTTTAAGCAGCATGTGAATGCTCTGTACTACCAAGAAGCATGTTTGTGCATTCCATGGCACCAGGTTGAAATTAAAGGCATTTAGCAAAATTCTTATATCCCTCTTTATCACCTACTCTCACAAGTTCTCGGCAATTACTAAAAACAAATAGAAATCTCTTTTTGACTTCTCATGTGGCGAGTTACAAACACGTGGGTGCGCTTGCCTTTGATGACAGTCTTCTCAATGTGACACTATATCCATCTTGCGGTACTGTACTGTATGAGGAAGCAGATGTATTTAGATCTGTGCAGCCAAATACTCATGTTCGATCACACCATGGAGAGACAAAGAGCTCTAGCCTAGAGCATTCATCTCCTAACTGCTGTCATACATCATATCTCCCTGTCCATTTAACCCCTAGGGTGCTAAGAGATTGAACACCACTAACTACCGACTCTGATTGGTAAAAAACACCAATGCTAAAAGGCAATCGCTATTATTTGATTAAGACATGCACAGTGATCAATCCTACAAATAAAATAAAAAAACAAACATAAGTTGTGTTTATTGCTGAAGATGTGAAAGCTTGTGATAACATCTCATTAGTTAATTACACTCATGACAATGTGTGGCTTGTTAATTATGCTAAAAATAAAGCTTTTGGACCCTCAGCTACCTTGATAGCCAAAGCTCTTGGTGAGTCCAAATTATCCACTTTGTGATATGTCTGTTTGTTGGCATTAATTATTCTGAATTCCCTGAAGAGAGAGTTTCAATGTTTTACGTGTATTAGTGGATATAAAAATCAGCCGGAATGTGCTCCATTGCCTGCAATGTACAACCTGAAATGATTGATATTATGATAATTAATGAACTGATACATAAAATAGAGATGGCTTTGTTATCAAGTAAATGCATTAGCTAAATTATATGTTTTTTATATGAGCCCATCACACTGATCACATAACTGTAAATGTGTCAACATTTAAACTGTGGCAATTTAGAAGCTCAACAAAAGTACCTAATCTGGTAAAATAGTTGGGACTGTGTCCTTCCTTTTACGACTTGCTTATGACAATACCAGAGAAAATAACGACAATGCCCGTCATTAAATGTGGCTGTACTAGTCATAGGGATACATGTACTGGAGGGGTTGGCTACACTAGGCATGGGGATACATGTACTGAATGGGGTAACTGTATTAGGCATGGGGATACATGTACTGGAGGGGAATGGCTGTACTAGTCATGGGGATACATGTACTGGAGGGGTTGGCTATACTAGGCATGGGGATACATGTACTGGATGGGGTAACTGTACTAGGCATGGGGATACATGTACTGGAGGGGAATGGCTGTACTAGTCATGGGGATACATGTACTGGAGGGGAATGTCTGTACTAGTCATGGGGATACATGTACTGGAGGGATGGCTGTACTAGTCATTGGGATACATATACTGGAGGGGATGGCTGTACTAGTCATGGAGATACATGTATTGGAGGGGATGGCTGTACTAGTCATGGAGATACATGTACTGAAGGGGATGACTGTACTAGTCTTGGGAATACATGTACTGGAGGGGATGGCTGTACTAGGCATGGGGATACATGTATTGGAGGGGGTGGCTGTACTATACATGGGGATACATGTACTGGAGGGGGTGGCTGTACTATTCATGGGGATACATGTATTGGAGGGGAATGGCTGTTCTAGTCATGGGGATACATGTACTGGAGGGGATGGCTGTACTAGGCATGGGGATAAATGTATTGGAGAGGATGATTGTACTAGGCAGTGGGGATACATGTACTGGAGGGGGTGGCTGTACTATACATGGGGATACATGTACTGGAGAAGATGGCTGTACTAGGCATGGGGATACATGTATTGGAGGGGAATGGCTGTTCTAGTCATGGGGATACATGTACTGGAGGGATGGCTGTACTAGTCATTGGGATACATATACTGGAGGGGATGGCTGTACTAGTCATGGAGATACATGTATTGCAGGGGGTGACTGAACTAGGAACGAGGATACATGTACTGATGGGGATGGCTATACTAGTCATGGGGAGGGGATGGCAGTACTAGGCATGGGGATACATGTACTGGAGGGGGTGGCTGTACAATACATGGGGATACATGTACTGGAGGGGATGGCTGTACTAGTCTTGGGAATACATGTACTGGAGGGGGTGGCTGTACTTGGCATGGGGATAAATGTACTGGAGAGGATGATTGTACTAGGCATGGGGATACATGTACTGGAGAGGATGATTGTATTAGGCATGGGGATACATGTACTGGAGAGATAGCTGTACTAGTCATTGGGATACATGTACTGCAGAGGATGATTGTACTAGGCATCGGGATACATGTACTGAAGATAGTACTAGGCATGGGGATACATGTACTGGAGGGGATGACTGTACTAGTCATGGGGATACATGTACTGGAGGGGATGACTGTACTAGTCATGGAGATACATATATTGGAGCGGGTGACTGTACTAGGAATGAGGATACATGTACTGATGGGTAGGGCTATACTAGTC